GTGAGCAGCCTATTTTCTCCTCTTGAAGATACTAAAGAATGGAATGATATATGTTAGGTTTGTGAGCCACCTCCTGAACAACCACACAAGAAGATGATTAGAAAAGAAAGAAGAATGGGCTATGTTGAGATGGCTGTGGGATAGTGGCGTGGTTTAGTGACAGTTGATGGAATTCACTGCAGTTGGTTGTTTCCTTTTGGGAATTTCATTTTTGATTTTAGATGTTGTATGAACTCAAACCTCAGAGCAAAAATTATGTGCTGCTGAACTATGGTGCTGAAGATACCTGAAATATTTGCTAAGCCTTGTAAATACCCAGGTTGCTTGTCTTCACATAATATTTCTTTATCCATCCTTCAGATTTAAAAAATGTATCACTGTTGACACTTAACATGTTGTGCTTAAAACTACTATAGATTTTCTTTCTCTGCATATATACCATGCCAGATCATTCCACATTTATTGTAACATTAAACACATCCCTGTGAGGCAATATCTGTTTTTTAGTTCATTATGAAGCATGAGTCCTATGGACAATTTATTTGGTTCAGCCACACACCCATTATTAAACTCACGTTATCTGACTATCCAGGAATATCAGGGGCCAGTGAAAGGCATTTAGTAAAGTCTTTTCTTGGCTATTTCACAAACCATCAATGACCCTTTCAAATGTAAATGGTAAACCAAGGGACTTAAATTGTATGAACACTTAGTACTATTATGAACGGGAGCTGTAAGTTGAACCTTGCCTGCCTGGAAGCTATAACACATTTATTCTAAGAAAGTGCTGGCCTTGTCTGCCTTCTTATTGATTATTTGTTTGTGGAGTAAAAGGAACTTTGGGAATTGACTTGATGGTGACAAGAAGGAGATATAAGTATTTAATTTTATTAGGATGCCCATGTGTTGCTCCATAGAATCCTGACATAATTAAACTCTTGAGGCAAGCTCTCACCTGGTCTAAATCCAAGGTTTGGGGTTTTTTGCCTGAAATGATCAAAATGAATAGCTGGCAAGCTGAGCAAAGGCATGTGTCCTGACTAAGTTTACCATAAGCCTAAAAATCCTTTCATTTTTCCATGCTTTACATTCCACATGAGGCCTCATGCCTATTAACTCTGTAACCAAGAAAGAAGACAGCTTCCAAGGAGTTGAAGGCAAGACTTCCTATGGATCTTCTCTCCTGGGAGAAGTGTATGGATTTTCTATTCCTGCCACTTCCATGTGACAGTACCTATGGTTAAATAAACTCTATTTAAATATCAAAAGATACATAAATTTTCTGCCACTGTATCATTTAACAATACTCAGGGCAATGTCACGGACTGGATATGGATGAAACAATTGTTATGGCAGGACTGAAAGCCAGGGGTCTGACTCAAAACTGAAGTCCAAAGAACAAGCAAGTAAGAAATTGATGATTTACGGTGAAGTCTGAGAACAGAGGGAATAGGAGGGTGAGTCTGATCAAGGGCAGGTAAGATTAGTGGCCAGAAATGGAGCTTAGCAGGATGGCATGAAGTCTGGAACTAGGGACAAGATTTGGCCTTTACCAAATTGCTGAAGGCCTGAAGGAGATATGTTGAACAGACACTTCTCAGTATTCCCCTGCCTATTATATCTGACTGAGGAAAAGGCAGGGTTGTATAGGCACTGGGTTTCATGTATAACATGGACCAATCTAGTTAAATCACCCTGAGGATGTGATTAGGCAGACTTGCTGGTTCTCTACTACTTGCTCATCATAGTGACACAGTGATAAAATACCTGGGAAAAGTCTGTGTTAGTTTTATCACAGTGGTCTAATCTGTGGACCTGAACCAGTGTTAGTGCAGTGATGAGAAATTGCCTGGGAATCCTCTGTATGAATAAAGTTTAAAACCTCAATTCCTTCTTTCAAAGTCATGCACAAGTAAAGCCTCTGACTTCCCCATATGGTTTATTTTAGGTTCTCACAGAAGACAAGATGCAAATGAGAGAGTTTGGTTATATAACGGCACAGACAATTACAAGGTTGATTTTTTTTAAATAAAAATAGAAACTATGACCATTGCATCACTGTTACTAAGAAAGAACAGTGATAAACCATATAGCAGATCAAGAACCATCTGGCTGAAAAGAAAGATGGAGCAAGACAGTGGGGGTGGCAGGGAAAGAAAAGAGTGCAAACTACCTCTGTTCAGCCAAATTGTTTGGATAGATAATGAAACCCAGCTCTGACATTTATTTTACCAGAATATTAAAGCAGATTTACATAGAGATGGCACCAGAAGGAAATTCACTTCAAAGAGATTCTTATCCTTGATATACAAGGTTAGCAGGCAACATGTGATTTGGGATCATTGATGATTAGCTTGGAAAAAGTACCTGATTCTTTGCGATAGTTAATATATGTTGAATTATTTCATAATGTAACTCCATTGACTTCAGGGATCAGTCTGGCCCCAGTATGCAACTGGATTCAATAAAGCACTATGAAGCACATTCCACAGAATGAATATGCAAAAATTCATGGCAGAACTTCAAAGGTACCCTCCTTGATGCACACACAGAATGACTCAGATCAAGGCTTTCTATGGTGGTCTGGTCTTTGTTTCCCATGTTTTTATTGTATAATAATTTTTGCTGCTGGCCACCTGTATTATATTTTCATATGCAGCTGCAGAAATGTAATCCTGGGACTCCTTACATCTCTCTTCTCAGTTAGATCTGCAGAAGCTAATGTGGAGGGTGGCCTTGGACCTTCTAGCTTATTGGGAAGCTCACTAGCAACTAACAGAACCACCCAATGAGGACTTCTATACTTGCTGCTTTTATCAGTGGGTGCATCTACATGTGCACTTTAATGTACAATAGCTTATTTTACTGTGCATTAAAACCATGTTAATACACTAATGCATAGTAAAAATGAACTGCTGCGTACTGAGCATCACTAAAAAAGTGTGCACTTTTGCTACTGCACATTAGGGCAGCCTAATGCACATTTATTTAGTACCTCACATTAGAGCTACTAGATTTAATGCACAGTAGCAAAAGCACATTAATGAGCATGTAGACATGGCAAGTTAGAGGTCTACTGTGTCTGTGTCTCAGTTCTCAGTTTCTTATTGTGTTCTTTATGGAAAACACCACAATGTAGTTAAATTTAGAAGTCACAAAAAGATGTGAATAAGTTTAACAGTTTAGTAAGTTTAGACATGCAATTCAAATACATAGATACATATAAACAACTATTGAAAAATGTCTATTTTTCCCCCTTTTTTGTTTCACTTGGAGTTTGGCCAGGAAAGGACTGAGTTAAAACAGAGGATCAGATCCTTCCCCTATCTAGAAACCTTTTTTAGGGACCACCTTTTATATTATCTGTTGCAGATCCTAGAATTTCATCTGAATTTCTCCCTTGAAGGCAATGAGAGTTGATTCTTGATCCTTTCCATGAAAAAGAAACCAGAGGCCTGGCCCACAAACTCAGCAGGTCTTGGTTTATTTTGTGCAAAACTCTGGAATCACTGTAGTTATGTCACAACTTCCTTACAGCTTAGCTCCAAGGCTAAGTACAGACAGTCGAAAACCTGAATGAATTCAATCTTTTCAGGTTAGTCTAAACTATGTAGATTGAACTGATAAGCAAGTGACCAGACATTCGCTTTTGATTCCAGAAATGTAGCCACATGCCTGCAGTGGCTCAGGCTAGAAGCTGGGGAGTGTTAAAGCATGCCTCCGAGCCTGCCAGCCACTGCCAAAGGGAATGGAGGGAAGCTGGGAGGGAAGCCCTCTGAGGCTTTTCGTTCCCTCCCTGCTCGAGTGGAGAGGGGGACATGGCCAGGCCCCACCTGGCCTAGCTGGCTGGGTATGATGGGGGGTTAGGGGTATGAACCCCAACCCTGGCCCACATTGACCCCAGCTGGGGTTTGCCTGGCTGAGGTAAGGTGCTAAGGGGGAAGTCCTCAGAGGTTTCTTCCCCCACTCCCCCCTCAAATGGATGGGCGGGGGGGCGTGTCCAGGCCCTGGCCTGGCTGGATGAGTATGATCGGGTGAGGTTAAACCCCCACCCTGGCCTGCACCAACTCTGGCTGGGGTTTAACCCTTCCATCAAACTCAGGTGGCTGGGCCAGGGCCTGGCCATGCTCCCTTCTCTGTTTCAGTGGTGGGGAAGGGGGTTGAAGCATTTGAGGGCTTCCCCTTTACTCCTCTGCCTTGGCCAGGCAGACCCCAGCTGGGGTTAGTGCAGGCCAGGATGGGACTTTAACCCACTCTCTGCTCAAGCAGGTGGGAGGAGCCCCTGGCTGGGGTCTGATGCTAGGGTTTCTCCCCAACCCTGTTCTCTGCCAGTCAGAGCAGTGATATTGCTCCAGCTAGGGAGCAGAGGGGCAGGACAGACTCTTCTCTGCTGGAGCAGATAGTGCAGCATGGCCCAAGGCTGCAAAGCATTCTGGAATGCTGGGGGACTGTGAGTCAGCTTGAACCAGGAAGGGATCTGGGACAGAAGTTCCATAAATTGGTTTGACCTAAATCAGTAAAGTCTGATACTACATCCAACCATGTTTATCTTAAACTGGTTTTGACCATTTTGAAAGTGGTTTATATACACTGAACTTCTGTTCTGTTATAGGGTTAAACTGGTTTCTGACCACTTAAACCAATTTATGTGTAACTTCTGTCCCTCCAATTTTGCAAGGGAGGAAATTATGCCGGTCCCCCCTGAACTCAGCACACCCACTCACTACTTAAGTTTCCCAGGCCTCACACTGATGATGGGGAAACCTGAAGCAGTTCCTGGGCTCCTTACAGAGTTTAACATGAGTCATCTAAAGGTTATGGTATTTTGTGTCTGATTGCTCCACTTCCTGTGCTTTCTAAAGATAAATAAGATAAATGACAGCCTGGCAACTCTTCTGGGAATTTCTGCAGCTTGTTTGTTCTGTGAAAATACATCATGTTATCTAATTTTATTACACTTATTAAAACAAAATCTTCCCTATAAAACTTCTCACAAGTAAGCTTGCTAGACCTTTGGGAACAGAACTCCAGAACAGAGAGGACTTGCATAGAAACCTAAGCATGAACTTGATTCTCCTGTCAGCCCTTTTAACAGTTCTCCATAGCTTTGCAGTAGGTAAACCTGTCCAGGTATGTCTAAGCTACCATAGCTATTAAGAACTTGAATCGTTGATGATCAGTCAATTAGTGTTTCAGTATGGCAGAGCATCTGTTGTGATTCTATATATGTAAGTTTCTTCTGATGATGATATACATACTAAAATATGTTCATTCCTTTTTACAGGTGGCCACAAGAAACAATGAAGCAGGTGAGTGTGATTTTGGGTGCTGTAACAATAATTAAAGGCTTTTAGGGATAAAATTACCCTTTTTTATTCCTCCTGTTTAAGTCCTTTGAGTTGAATTTTCTGTTCTGTTACACAAATTTTGCGCTTGTGGAACGTTTATTGATAGAGTTACTCCTGACTTGCACTGGCATAAGTGAAGGGAGAATAAGAGTGTAAAGTCTGATGTTTTTAAACAAGAGTTCCTTAACTTTCTATAACCATACTGAAACAGATCAATGAAAGTGATGGCAGAGATTCCAACATACAGATTTTGATTTTACTGGGAGCTGGAATTAGGAACTCCAGACAGTCATGATGTTACTAAAACTTTGATATAACTTTAAGCACTCACAGTTAAAAAAATTGGCTGTAAAATGTTGTCTTTTCAAAAACAAGTCCCGGCACCAGCACCTACAGGGGTGTGCTGGAATTATAAATTTGTCAGGATCCCACTTCAAACCAGTTTTTTTCCCCACTGATGTATGAATTCACATTTGTCTTTTAATCTCACATCAACTTGATGATTTATGTTGGCATGATAAGGGAATTGTTCAGTTACAGAACATTACTGAGATAGAACATTTATTTTGGCAAGAAAACCCTCAATGAATAAGACCAGTTTAATAAGAAAACAGAATGTATTAACACTTTTACATAGGACTCCCTTCCTGCCTCTCTGGTATTTAGCCAGACTCATTCAGCCTTGTTTTAAGTAACCTCAGTTCTCTTTGACATCAGGGGAAATATCTCTGCTTTCACCAGAGTTGAATTTGCTTCATTTTGTCTACCCTGTCCTTCACTCCCACAGATCACTATTTTACCTGTTTTGTCTTTTCCCTTCTTTCCATTGTCACTTCCTTGTCTGTTGTACACATAATTTTGACACAATAATCAGTAGTTACTGCACATAGCAAATGCAGGACTGGAATGGTAGTGGAGACTAAGAAGGCAAAGCTGAGGAATGTGTCACGATACCCTGTGATGCACTATACCAGGGGTTGTCAACCAGGGGTATGCATACCCCTGGAGGTACTTGGGAAAGCCCTAGGGGGTACGTGTGGGTGGGTGGGTGGGGATGGAATGCTGCCACCCACCACCCTGTGCTGCCACCTTCCAGGAGTGGGGCTGGTGGGGGGCAGCGAGGGCAGCAGCACCCTTCTGGGGGCCACACAGGTGCCACCTGGCCAGCCGGACAGAGGGGGGGAAGAAGCTCGCACGCAGTGGCTCGCACGCAGTGGATGCTGCCACCACCCATCACTCTGTGGTGCCACTGATCTTCATCTGACTGTACCACCCCTCCTCTCCCCGCTCTGTGTATGGCCACTGGGGGTACACTTTTTAAAAAAAGGTTGAAAACCCCTGCACTACAGATTAACGTAACGGTGACACAAACTGAGTAAGTAGTTCTAACTTGTCCCAGTGTACTGTTTTATACACTGCACAGACATTTACTAAATCTTTTTGCAGTTAAGAAAAATACTTTCACAAAGGGTGATTTTCAGAGGCACAAAGGGCAGTTAGGAGCCTAACATATGGAAAGCCATTGGGAATTGGTCAACTAACTCCCATTTTTTCCACTAAAAATCACCCTCTCTGTGTCTCATATGTTAATTATTTTCTTAATCTGTAGATACAGTTCTATATGAGAGTGACATTGTCTTGAGAAGACAGAAACGCAGTGCAATGAACTGTGACTGCTTCTGGCCCAAGTCCCAGGATGGGCTAGTCAAGATTCCAGTTAATGTCTCTTCAGATTTTTGTAAGTTGTTTGGAAATTTACCTTGTGAAATCAGCATTGATTTTCTTCACACTGAGTTCTGAAGATTTGTTTCATGGTAGTTTTGCACTATGCATCAAAAGTAGTGTTAATCAGAGTCAGAATTCATGGATATAATTGCCTTCCAGTAAACAGGTCCTCCTAAGACAATTTGGCTAAAATAGCATACAAGACAATAAAAGGGGTATTTAAATATGTGGTTGCTTGACAGTGGGAGCATCTACACGTGCGCTTTACTGTGGAGTAGACTAATTTGCTGCACAGTAAATCATCACTGTTTACACTTGCACCAGTATTATGGTACAGTAAACTAATTAACTCGGCTGTAAGATAGTACTGCTAGAGGCAGTACTATCTTATTGTGGGGTAATTTACTGGGCTGTAATGCATGTATAGATGCTGACCACAGGCATAAATTGCATCCAGTCAGCCCAGCCAGCTGGGAGTCTGCTCCAAGTTGGCACTGGATTTATGACCCAGATACATGTTCCAGGCAGCCTCAACCCTCAGACTAACCATGACCTCTCAATTCGATAGTAGGCACATTTTTTGATACACAGTGATAGTAGATAAGAACAGTACAATTTTATATTTACCAGTCCTAGAGCTGTCACAGAGGGAAGGTACATCTGGCCAGTATGTGAGCTTCACCCTGGGGTTCTTTCTTGAGTGTCAGATATCAGCAGCCTGGAGGTTGAAGGCCAAGGCCCACCCTCCCCCAGCAAGGTGGATGAGATGGGCTGGTAGTGTGCTCTCTGTCTCAGGTTCCCCTCTCGAGGACCTTTTGCTGCTCTGAAATCTCTCCTTTCATATCCTTTCTCCCCTCTGATGACTCTTTATTTCTGAGCATTGTTGACTGGTTTCCCTGTGGTCATCATACTGTTCATGTTCTGTCCTGCCAGCGTATTCCTTTGTTCCAACAAACCCATCGCATGCACACATCTTAATTTGTTTATTTACCAGTCTCTTAGAAATCAGTTAACCTTTGCTGTTCCCTTGGACCATTGTTATAATACATATCTACTTTATGTACAAGCCAGTTCCTCAAAGCAAACCTCTAAGTATCATTTTCTAGTCATCACTCCACCCCAGCTCAAATTGCTGCTGTCCTGGGCACATGTGTAAACACTACACCCAGGAACAGTTTACTCCAGCTCAAACTGCTCCAGAGTTGCATTAATTGTGTGTAGATGCACCCCGTATGTAGTTGCTTAAATACAAATTGAGTCATTGTAACAGGGAGCCCTAGCCCTGTTATTAGGAGGCAGGGCTGCCCCTTTAAGACCTGAGTCTATAGGAACATCAAGCACCAGGAGGGTAGGGGTTAATAGCCCAACCACCCAGGCTGGTCAGCTGACAGGAAGGGGATAAGCCTCTGGGCACATATAATCCCAGGACTGAGGCTGGCAGGAGGAGGTCTCTGGCAAGCAGCCAGGAGAAGAGAGCTCCTACACGGCAGAACTACCTAGAAACATGGTGGTTGCTGGCCAGACTGTTGCTATGAGGCTCCAGGAGTCTACAAGGTACCCAGAGTTGGGATGCACTCAATACTCGAGGAGTAGTTTAGGGTTTTTAAGGAGCCAGAGTGTGGCTTGTAGGACTTGTATTATGTTATAGCCCAGGGGCTCATATTTATGTTGTTATTTTATCCAGTGGCCCAGGCTGAGGCTATTGGGGGAGGAGGAGGTCTCATCGGGGCATACTACTGTGCAAAGCCCCAGCGCCAGGGCACGCAACAACAGGGGTTGATCAGTCCCCAGCACCAGGGGGTGCAGTGACAGGGGGTGATCAGTCCGCAGCGCCAGGGGGTGCAGCACCAGGAGGTGCAGAGACTGGGGGCAGACCCCAGTGCCAAGAGGCACAGCGACAGGGAGTAGGCAGGCCCCAGTACCGGGGGGCGCAATGCCAGGGGGTGCGGCGACAGGGAGTGAGCAGACCCAGTGCCCTAGAGCACAGGTCAACATTTATATACCATCTGCGAGGCATGGGCCACCATGTAGGGGAGGTTTGGAGTAGTGGATAGCGATCCCTAGTGTGGGGGTTGTAAATGGGCAGCCTCCCACCTGAGTAACATCATAATTATTGTTCTATCAAGGCATGGCAGGAAAGAAAGGTGGGTGGGTAGCCCAGAGACAGAGGGCCAGGCCTACATTAGACAGGCCTGGGGCTGGGCCCCTGTCACAGTCATACACATTAGTATTCATTTCTTGATATTTAACAGTTACAGAACAGACAAAATGCATGTTCTGTTCCTTCAGTGAATACAGTTGTATCAATATTGATTATTACTCTTGATAAGTTGTTATAATAAATAGTTTGGACTCACTAGTTTTCATGATAAGATCTTAAAGAGCCTTAAAAACAGTATGACCTGATTATTCTCTCCCTTGGGAAACTACAAAAGAGGAGGAGGCAGGGGAAATCTTCTTGAGGTTTTTTTCCAAGAGAGGTTTCTTCCTTGATTGTTTTACTGAGATCAGTCAGTTAGTTTATGAACCATGCTATAGGTCTGGTGCCTTAATCTGGAACATTTTCATAGAAGCTTTGTCTCTAGTCAAGCTCTGTGCTTCTAACACTATGTGCTTGCCCTGACAGTGTGGTCCTATTGGAGCAGTGCTGCCAGTACTTCACCCGTCAGTGACTTCCTTTGGGCTCATTTGTAAAAGTGATCCTCGCCTCAAAGGGAAGTAGTATGGAAACGTAATGCAGCCGTAGGTCAGGGATAAAAGTTCTGGGGAATCTTTTGGTGCCATTTGGGGTCAGAGAAGATGGGTAATATGCATTGCCTTGAGCTGTACAACAGTCCAGCCCTACTTCCTACCTGCAAATCCCTGGACCTGCAAAACACTTCTTTGCAGCAAGAGGGAACATTACTGGACTGAAATATTAATGTCAATATAGTTAGTTAAGGATTTTTCATCCTGATTTTAAAGATGGGGAAAGGAGTGGCACAATACTGTTAAAGGACAAATTTTGCTAGATGGCTTTTATTTAAGAGGCCCAACATAGGCCTACAACCATAATTAAGTACTCAAATCCATATTTAGGCCATTGATTAAAAATGGTCTTAAATTTCAGGTATTCTGAACACCTACTGTTTCAGAAAAATGTAACACCTTTTCTATTTAAATGCCTAAATACAGAGTCAAGTGTCTAATTTTAGACACTCGAGTGTGACGATTTTGACCTTAACTTCTGTTTTAGTTTCTATATCTTTCTATCAAAAATAATAGTACTGACCTTCCTTTCTCCCACTGGCTACACAGGGCTCTTATAAAGCATGGTAATATACTTCAAGACTAAGGATAATTATAATTGCTACCTTTGAAAGCCAAGTCAGTTTGAATATTCCTTAAGCCTCTGCACTTTTTTCAGTTTTACTTGTGTGACAGAAGTGGAAAGATTTACTGGAATGGATTCATTCCCAGCATGCTACATAGAACATATTAAACAAGATTCCATTGATTTATTTCCCCCTTTGCTTCCCAGCTGTGACGGAGAGAGCTTGGATTGTTGAAGCCATGCAGGAGTTCAATACATTGACTTGTGTCCAGTTTGTAAATCGCACAACTGAAAGCAGCTACATAAAAGTTGTACCTGGCCAGAAGTAAGTTGCATCAATCTGATCATAGAAGCCTGGATCATTTCTTAATTAATTTTTTGTCTTCTTTTTATTTATTTTTCTGTCTTCTTTCCTGATTCACTTGGATTTAAGTAATCCTACTTCTTAACCACCTCCAGGACCCAGAGAGCAGTAATCCAGACCTCACACAATTTTTCATATTTTCTTTAATTTGATGGTTGGTTACATGTTTTGAACCACAGAATTGTATCTTCTTTTTGCTGCTTGGGGACTGACTCAGGAAACTGCTAGTAATAACAATAAACTAGTGATCCAACATGGCATGTTTTGGGTTTGGGTTTTTTTTGCCAACTTTTAGTCAAAAATACAATTCTATTAAATGTGTTTTCTGAGAACTCATTGGTCTTAATGTGGACTCAGCTCCTTTACTGTTTTAAAAAATATAATAAATATCCTAGAATCCTGACTTCTCCCCAGTAAAATTCTGGCCTGATATTTCCCAATAATCGGCAGATCTACTATCAGTTATTTACTGTGTATGTCCTGTTTTGCTAGATATTGAGAGGTATTTGGTGGCTAGGTAAGAACAACACATCTCATAAACTGGTTGCATGTAACATCTTAGGTTATTTACTGCATGTTCCTTTCAGCTGCTGGTCTTTCTTTGGAAAGATTGGAGGAGCCCAGACGGTGGCCCTGATGAAAAATGGCTGCATGAGTAAAGGAGCAATTCAGCATGAACTGAACCATGCACTGGGCTTTATACATGAACAGTCCCGAAGTGACCGGGATAACTATGTTAGGATTATGTGGGAATACATTATGGCAGGTATGTCCACCATATATGAAGAAACAGTTGGTGGCCTGAGCTGAGGAAGGGCAGGATGGTGGTGGAGGCAATGATGATGACAATTATAACAACTGGCTGAATTGGATCTGTAGGCATTTCTCTGTTTAGGCCTTGTCTATAGGTTCATGGGTTCATAGATGTAGGGTCGGAGGGGACCTGAGTAGATCATCAAGTCCGACCCCCTGCAAAGCTAGCATAGCAGAATCCACTTGTTGGATGCACAATCTGTTCAACAAGAGGAGTTATACCATCTTCCTAAACAACATAAACTTAAGTCAACATAAGTATGCTTTTGTTAACAAAGCTGTGCCTTCACTCAGAGTTTTGCTTCTATGACTATGCCAGGGAGGGTTTGCATGATTTTTTTTCATGCTCCTAGCTAATTCATAGATTCATAGATGCTAGGGTCGGAAGGGACCTCAATAGATCATCGAGTCCGACCCCCTGCATAGGCAGGAAAGAGGGCTGGGT